CGTGTTTTTCACTGTCTTAGAAAACTGTTTAAGAGGGGGACAACTAATGCTGATCAAGTGCTTAAGTCCGTTTGGCCGGGAATAGAGTACTTAGAATTCTGCATCTTCTTTTCACCGTCAGTTTGAAATTGTTACTGAAAATTCAATAAAAGGATAACGTCTTTCCATAGCCCAGGTCCCAGTGGTTAAAAAGGTGGTTAATGCCATCCACTGCATGGATAAATCTCTATCTAGTAGATGGCACCAACAGACCTTTTTAGCTTGTATGTTTTTTTTTTAGTTTCCCAGGAAGTGTTGCGCTTTCCACCCAAAAGGCAAATTCCCTCCGGAAAATGTCGCGTGGTTTGAATTGGGAAATACAATAAAACCTGCAAGCTATAAAGGTCTATTGGGTTTCCTAATAGTCCTAATACAGTCGAACCTCTCTACATCGGCCCCTTTTTTTCGTCCCGGCGGACAAAACTCCATAAATTGACTCTTGTTTAAAAATTCTCTACAACGGCCAGGTTATTCTGTCCGCAATAAGGTGGCCAGCTAGGAAAGTTGCTCTTGTTGTGGTTTAAACCTGGCTGTGTTCTCAATCGAGCTTATCATATAGGTTTTATTCATTTAAGGTTTTTTTTGTTGAATAAACTCCTGGCAGTTTTGCGGAAATATTCCCACCTGCCCCAACCTTTTCTTTTTAACGCCTCGTAAACATATAAGGAAAACATTAGAAAGGCGCCAGAGCTAACCATATTTTTAAGAATGGCTAAACATTTTTTTAATATTGCTCCCACATCCGCAAGCTTCTATTCTAAGATAATTAACTGTTGCTTCTGTTGACTAATAAGCTTGCTAAAGCGTCCTGAATTACTGGTTAACATTACTATGAGCTGGTACACTTCTGCGTTTCTTATTGGTTTTGCTGCGGTGAATGCGCACTTGCGCTTTGCTGTTCTGCCTTGTTTAGATGTAATTATTCAGGGGCACCCAACCAGAATATAGTTCAAAGCCACTTAAACGTAGCATTGTTAAACGTATTTTAGTATTAAAACGTTAGGTATAGACATATTTTTATCCCCTAAAATTAATTTTTCATCTGTTCGGATTTCCTGGCTGAAAGTCTAGTGATTCGAAAATTATAGGGATCAAAACTTACCTATTCGAAAATTTCAGCCAGAAAAAAAGGCTCCCGAAAATTGTAGGTGACCTTTTTAGGGTAAAAATCCGTCAAAAATTGGCAATTATACCATTTTTTAGATGTTCGAAAATCCTAGGAGATGCAGACAAGCAAGAAATTTTGGAAAAAATGTTCCGAAAATTCTAGATCTCAAATCGTCTTCTGAACAGATATTTTTCAAAAATTGTCGCTGGGTGCCCCTGATTATTTTGAAAAGCATCAAGTGAATTAATAATCTTGGTCGTGTTGTAGCCCGCGTGTACCTTTAGTTACCACCGATTTTTGCTAAATTCAAAATCATCTTAGCCGGCTAAAAGGACACTAATGGAAAAATGACTATGTGTCCATTTCTTGCCATTTTATTAGCAACAGTGAGAATATCACTTGGTAGAGAGGATGCAGTCGACTTCGGAAAAGCAACACTGGAAGTGGAAGATACTAATTTCAAAGAAAACACGAGTTATCGTATAAGGAGAATATTTCCTGGTAAAAGATGCGCTCACGTGGAAAAAGTACTTCCAGAATTTCCTACACGAAAATCCTTCTTAAGCTTTTGAAACCCATTAAAATCTCGGCAACATCTGCAGGACGGATTTTTAAGAAATGGCTCACGAAATCAATCCCTCAAACCTGAGCCGCTTTATCACAAAGCTTTAAAAGGAAAAGACATCAATATCGCCATCATCGGAGGTTCAAATGCTGCAGGAGGGAATCTTGAGCAAGATGAAAAGAATATAAAAGGAATTTTTTATAACTTGTTTGCTACATCTTGGAACGCGACAATGGGGAATTGGACAGGGTCTCATGCGATAGTACATAACGTAGCAATAAGCAGTTTGAGAAGCTATTTATTTGCATTTTGCTATAAAACATTTTTACCCGTGGGAGTGGATGTTGATTTGTTTGTAGTGGAATAATCAGTAAATCATGAACCAGTCTGTAAGCCTGCCCCACTGGAGACACTAATCATGCAGATCCTTAATCACATGCCAGGCTAAAATATTGGGTCTTTGTCAATATTTTGTGTCCGGCTTAGGAAAAGACCGGCACATCAGTAAAGAACTTAAAAACCCAGATTATTGTACGGATCTTGAAGATTATCAGGGACAGCTTGACGTTGCAGATAGGTATACAATCGTAGCTTTCTGTGTAAAAGATCTGTTATGTAAAAGGACAACTGACGAAGGTTATGAAGTTGACGGGGAAATCGCAGAGGTCAGTCGAGTGATTGCTTTAAACCTGTATCACCGGGAGCATTGACGCATGCGCAGGTTGGACTCTTGATGATCAATTACTTTAGAGATGTTTTTGTCTTCAACTTTACGGAAAACAAGCTTGGCGATAAAGGGGATTTTGATCACGAAGTGCGGTCCTCTTTGCTACCCGCTGCTATTTACAAAGTAGGTGATAGGGAGACATAGATCAATCCACAATGTTGGATAGCGCTGACACCTAACGCTTGCAATACTGAGCATGCGCAACACCCAAACCTAGACATGTGCATTGAAGAAAACAGAGGCTTTCTTTCCTACAATTCGTTCGTTGAAACACCACCGCCTCAGTGCAACGGCATGTTGAGAAAAAATCTTTAGCGAGGATGGTGAAGTAAAGACAGTAACATGGAATTCAGAATCTGTATCGGGTCATGTTACTTGTAGATCTGTGATCATTATTTAGCGAGTAGCTCAGCGCATTGGTGGTCAGGCCCTTATTTGGTTGGATAACGATGAAGAAAAGGAGATAAAAGTAGATAACATACGTAATCAAATTTCATCTTTTCACAGTTGTACGTCGCGTTCGTCCCAGAACATGTTGCGACAAAATATTGTTTTCTCATACTCACAGAGATATCAGTTTCTTTTTCTTGATTAATTGATTATTTTTCGTTTTTCTTTTGTTATTTTAACACCATTTATTTTATTTTTTCATGCAGGGATGTTCATTAATGTTCGTACTTTTTACGATCAGTGATAGGTTCTTTATTATCGGCAGATTCTTGTCGGCCCACCTGACTAAAATGAAAATGAAGTGATTTAATAAAACTGAACATTAATAAATAAAACCTTTAAAATTGTTTCCAAGTCTTTTAGGTCCCACGAGGTTTTTTCAGTCTTCATAGACAGCATTGCAACTCAAACCATCAAGCGAGGGATACAATAAAGTCCGGTGCGTCAGCTGCCTCGAAGCCAGCAGCTTAGCATGCTCCGGTTTTTTGGGGCGAGCCTACCGTCCCTGCGCTTTGACGGCAAACAAGGCCGGCCTCTCAAGTCACTTTTGGCAAGAAGCATAGCGGTAAACAAACTGAGGGGAAAATAATGTAATCACTTTTAAACGGAGCAGGCTATTCTGTATAACTAGTTTTGTTAAGTTTCATTTAAACGGTTCACAAGTCTGAAAGTGACAACGTAGAAAAGAAAGATTTTGACCGGAAAGAAAGGACCCCCTAGATGTCAGCGCCTTCGATACACTGGGAACTGAATGATAATCACAATCATCAAGGCTTGCTGTCGGAAAATGTCTAGGGACGTCCCTATTATTCCTATCTGAGCGGTATGGGCCATAAGTTAATACATTTCTTGTAATTCTTGAAATGAATTGATTTATCAGTGTTTTTCGTTTGTGGTCCACGAAGCAAGAGACAAAGCCTCGCGAAAGCTAAACGGTGGTCAAACGAGAAAACGGTGGGGGAGGGGGCGAGGGGATACAAGCAGAGAGAATAGGTCAGAATGAACTCTGTTCAGTCTCTGCAGTGGTCTGTCTCTCGCTCCCTAGCCTGAGATCATGCCCTCTCCCTATTATCCCTTTATGTCCCTCACGGGAAGAGACTACTTTACTTTTTTTCCCTCTCGAGCCAAAGAAGCAAAGAAGCAAAAAAAAAAAAATAAAAATATAAAAATAACGCCTGATCTCAGGTTACTCGCTCCCTCTCTCACTGTTTCCTCCTTTGACCTCTTAATTTATCCCCTACGAAGCACAAACGAGAAATACATAAACAAAAACAAACAAACAAACAAAGCAAAACAAAATACTTGGAGTGGACTTGTCCTCAGTCTTCCCCGGCTTCCCAGGTTACAGTCCACACGGAACGCACAGCACGTTCAGTGCCTATCCTTTGCCATCTATCTCCGTGCGCAAAATTTGTCATCAAAAAAGGTTAGTGTAGGCCATTTTTGTGCGTAATCGATTGTATTTATTATTGCTAGTAACGCTTTCATATTACTGTTAGTTTATATGGGCCAATAAATATCTTTCAAGGACATCTAAAATTATCAGCATGTCATGCCTTGAAAAATAACATAGCATACGTACAGTATACTGACTGGGTAAAAAAGTGCGATAATTATAAAGTGATATGCCTTTGATCGACGAGTTTTATAGATTAATTAGAGAAAAAGAAATCACTCAGAAAAAGCTAGAAAAATCTTTTTTATATTCTAAAAGTGTGATAATGAAGAGCTTCATACAACTTTTCGGACAGTTCGATCCAAAATTATACCGTAGCATGACCCCAGCATGACCCAGCTGTTTTATTATCTGATGCACATGACTGTCACGTTGATGGTAAATCTCCATTTTGGTTTTAACAGTACGGAATAACCTATTTCTCTGTAACACTGCACACCGTCACACAAGGAGAGACAGCTGTCACGTATTGCGTGACGGTAATCAAGGGATTCTGAATTTTATTCTATTTTTAGCATAATGTCTCATACAGTAATACCGTGATGGCTAAGCCAATCAAAACTCTAGAATTGCATTATCCAATGATCCATTTTTTATATAATATTATTTTTACAAAAATATTGATGAAATCATTTTTCTATTGTAAGCTTTCAGAATGATTTCAATGTGGAGAACAGGCTTGGCATATTTGCGATTGTCGAATACCCTCACAGGAGTCCAACATCGTGGCTTGGGAACAGCATCTTTCCTTCTTAACAAGTTGCTGATGAAAAGTGTTGAACATTCACCAGAACAGAAAATGGTGAGCATCACGTGGCAGAATGGGACTTCAAACAGATATCCTTACATCTACCTACGAGACAATTGCCAGTGCACAGAATGCTTCTTTGAAGAATCCAGTCAACGCCTTCTTGATATTGTAAAGGATGTGGACGTTAATGTTAAACCGAATAAAGTTGAGATTAGCGATGACCAAACTAAACTGTCAATCATTTGGCCTGATGGTCATATCAGTCTTCTTGATGCTGAGTGGCTCTTTCAAAAGCGTCTTTCAGAAGAAACCGAATCAGAAACTAAGAGCTGTGAAGGGGTGACAACAAGGAAAGTTACCCTTTGGGGTAGTGAATTCAAAGATCATGTCCCTCATATGAAATTTGAGGACATTCTGAATGATGAGGAAGTACAATTTAACTGGCTGAACAGTTTATATAGATATGGCATTGCTCTTGTGACTGACACGCCTGTGCAAGAAGGGCAACTAGAAAAACTGGGCAATCTTGTGGGTTACTTGAGAATGACAGCTTATGGGTAAGCAAGGTTTATGATCTCACAGTGTATTATATTTCAGTCTTGAATTTTAGAAGGACTCCTTGAAAAATACTTGAATTTTTTCACAAGTTCTTGAATTTAGTCCTCAGAGTTTCCAGTACTGAGGATGTGGTAGAAAAGTGGATACAAAAAATACCATTTTCATTTGGTTCAAAAACTGGAAGAAGGAAGCTGTCATCCTGGGATTAGGGCTGAACTGCAAAACCTGGGCAACCCTAACCCTGAGTGAGCTGTCATGTCTAATAGAAATGGACTGGGAAAGGTGGATCCGGGAGGTTCTTGGGGGCTTGTGTACTCTACCATCCCCCTCTTACTCAGATTCATTCCCCCCTTCTTACCCTTAATTTACTTCCCCTCCTTACCCCAGATACAGCTTCTGCATCTTATTCCAGATACACCTTTTTGTTCTTGTCCAACTTAGGTACACTTCCCTTTCTTAATTAACCCAACAACACTTCCCTTTCCTACTTCACATACTCTTGCCCCTTCTTACCCTACCCTGCCTTAATTCTTACCCCCCAAACACATTCCCCTTCTTACACCAGATATACTTTTCCATTCTTACCCCAGATACACTGCAAACTTATTTACCCCTGCAGATCCATTTCCTTTTCTTACCTAGATAAACTCCCCCATTCTTAATACCTCAGAGATGCTTCCCAGTCCTTTTCTTTTATACACCACTCCTTCTTCAGGGGTACCCAATGACGGTTTCCTCCTAAATACATTGAAAACTCTTTTTAGGCTATGTAGAGCACTTTTAGATCTCTAGAAATGCATTCTAAGCAGCACTATAAAAAGTGTATCATGTTTGGTCATCCTAGGGGTTAATACTTGAGTCTTTTCGAAATTGTTACAAGGGCTTCAGTATTATTTTCCCGAAAATTTTAGATGCATTTAACGTTTTACGAAAGTGAGAATTTTTCTTATTCCTCCCTCAATCACATTTTTGAACCCCAAAATTTTAGGTTTCCTCTTTTTACAAAAATTAGCCTGATATGGAGAGTAAACTGTGAGAGATTAAACTTCAGAAAATCATAGGGTTTTTACTAGTTAGATAATAAGCTTCGAAAAGTGTACCTGAATAGAATGGTCATCTGGAAATTTTTAGTCGTCCTTGAGCAATAGAAAATTCTAGGCAGTATTTGCTTCCCCCAACAGATAATTCACAGAAAACATTGGTTGGGTCCCCTGCTTCTTAACCCAGATCCAATGTTCCCTTCTTCAGACCCCAAATATGCTTTCCCATTTTTACCCGGGGGGTACTTTTGGGTTAATGTTTGCTGGGCATGTGCCACTAGCCTCTCAGAGCCCCAACCCCATTATAGTCTATTTTTTGGCCAATTATAGACCCTGTCTCAGTCACTTTTTGGAAAATGTAATTTTCGTGATCCCAACTTAGTCACTTTCTATTTATGCATCTACCTTATCAATGTGGTTTCAAGTGGTGGAATGAAATGCGGTCAATGCGAACTTATTGTTAAATTTAATAAACAAAAACTTTCTGATTTTTTAACCGAGAATCTTCCCATTTTGAATCCCTACTTACCCCCAAAAATCCGAAAATTTGTAACCCCATCCTAGTAACTCTATTGAAAATGCGACCCCATTATAGTCACTCCAGTCGTGAAAATGTGACCCCATCCAGCATCTCATCCCTATGAGCCTCTTGTAAGGGAGTACCCCCCCCCGGATTTTTACCCAAGATACACTCCTAGTTAGATGTCCCTTTCTTTCTTCAGATACACTTCCCCGGCCCCTTCTTAACCCAAATACCTCTCCCCTTATTACCCTAGGTCTATGTTCCCCTTGTTACCCCAGATATACTCCCCTTCCTTACCCCTGATAATCTTTCCATTCCTTAACCCAAATATCAGTTCCTTGCCTCAAATACAAACTTTGTATCTTAATTTCTAAGGACAGATCCAACCCAATAAAAAATCCTAGATCCATTTGTGCCTTGTCGTTGTTCAGAAATCCCTGATTGGTTTTGTGAAATTAATTTTTGCTGTTTTTCTTTTCCCAAGAAAGACAATCTTGGTTTCTACACGTCTGAAGGCTAATAGTGTTGCATACACAAGCCATACTTTGCCTCTTCACTCAGATCTACCTTACTATGAATGCAAACCAGGGGTAAGCTATAGAGAGCATTAGACTATAACAACGCCCTAGCTGTTTGGGTGGCATCAGAGCAAATGATAACAAATGACATAAAGATGGGTTTATTAGCTGGAGCATTGACATGGATATTAATCACATTATTATTAATATTAAATGAGAGACAGAGATGTGGCTTGCTCCTGAAGTAATACTATCATTGTATAATAGTGTTATTTTAATTATAGTATATCCTTTTTGCACACGTGCTACTTTTGAAGGGAGGCTAAATTTTAAGAGGGATTGCAACTGTCATGTCGTGCACCTCATTAAGTTCACTTTGCGGCAGGATTAGCTCAGTTGGTAGAGCGCTTGACTGCAGAGCAGAAGGTCGTGGGGTCTCAAATCCTGGGGCCGGACCAATACTTATGGTCTTAAAACAACTGAGAAATGAAGGTACTCACTTTGCCCTGCAAAGGGATAGACCTTCACGTGGCTGGGATGACCACTAAAAATGGCACTCCAAATAGTGTCCCCAATTAGCACTTTCATGCTAAATACCTTGACACTCAAATAAAGAGCATTTTTTTTAAACATGCAGATTCAACTCCTCTTTTGCTGGGAGCAAATTCCAACCAAAGGGGGTGCAAACACACTGGTGGACTCATTTCATGTGGCTCAGCAACTAAAGAAAGAAGATCCTCATGCTTACAATCTTCTTACCAAAACTCATGTTCTTTTCCGCCATAGTGGAGCAGATATACTTGGTGAATATGACTTTGAAGGAGCAAGGCCGTTGCTTGAGTAAGTTGGCTATTTCAAACATTTCAATTTGCATTTTAAAAAAGTTGAGAAAATACCTGCCTTCAGCCATTGGTTGTGCAGGTATACCTGTGGTAGACAAGAGACAGGACTGATGTACATTGTACCCCAATGAAAATTAAGGCTTTCACAGCTAGTACTTGAAAAGTCCTGTAAGAAGGTGGAAAAGAAGGAGTGCTTACCCCCCTCTGACGGGCACTTGAGGGAAGTTTGATGCTGTGGGTAGGTGTGCTGCCGAGGCCTTCAAACCCTGCCCCTGTTTGAAACAAATATTGCTCACTGCCCTTCACCAACCTTCATACTTTTTTTAAGACTTCCGGTCTGAAAATACACCCTGTTCAAGACGCTAAATAGTGAAATTGTATAACCTCTTTAAGGCTCCAGACTCTTAAAACCATGCCATACCCTGTTCGGTGGCACATACCCATATAGGCCAAATAAGGGAGTTAAGCCTCCCCTCCTTGGCCTACCCCCTGTAAGAGAGAGTTGTGGCATGTTAACTAAACCAATCAATTCACCTCTTTAGGGTCGATCACCATGGCAGGTTATTGCGCTGCAATCATAATGAGGGAACAAGGCAGTGTTTTCTGGGCGTGCCAGCAAATAAAACTCAAGAGATGTATGAAGCTTACTACTCGTTAACCAAACGGCTGAAAGATCCAAAAAACATGTTTGTTCACAAGTTGTCTCCGGGGGAGATAGTGGTGTTTGATAATGATCGTGTCCTCCATGGACGCACAGGTTACACTCTGACAGAGAATGTAGGTAGATGTTTGGAATCAGCTTATATTGATTGGGACGTGGCGAGATCCAAGTTGAATGTACTGGGTAAGAAACTGAACAAGGGTCCAGTGGCAAGAATGGACAGCACCCTCAGTGTAACACACCCATGGACTGCAGCGTAACTCTGTCACTCTTAATAGCACCCCAGAGGGTACTCCCTATAAAGGAGCTGTTTATAAAGTGCTGGGTATTGACACTAGGGAGTTTAGTGCTTAGAACTCAGAGGTGCACGGAGCTTTCTTTTTTTTTTTTTTTGGGGGGAAAGAAGTATACAAAGGGTGGTCGGACTCCCTGGAAATCTTGAGTGTTGGTGATCTACCTCTTCTTTAAGAAGACATTATGTTAATTTGCGTTTGTAGCAGCACTGTAGGAAAAAGAAAAAAGAAAAAAAAGAGGTTTTTCCAAGTAAAACATAATTTTATTTTGATTTGTATTAGTCAAGAGCATTGTGTGTTTTGTTCAATGCAAAGAAGTGGAGAGAAAATCAATACATTGGTAATCCTGTTCAACATATTTAGATTTTGTAATAAATATTACATCCAGTAAATCTAGTATTAACTAGCTACAAATATCATAAATACCTTAAAATATATAATGACAATTTTAAATTATCCCTCTGGTAGACCTTTGCTAGCAGTCTTTTAGCTTGTTCCAGACATTCAGATAGTGAACGCTTGGAACAGGCTAGTGGTCTCTTGATTTAATTATTGTATTTTAATCTAGTATGCGGTTGTCACCTCACAATGGGTTTTTTACCCTATTTACTGCTTCTGTTTTGTATACAATCAACTCTCTCTTGTGACACACAACACTACAAGAAGGACGTCTCTCTGAAAAAGACACCTAAAGTTGGTTCCTGCCATTTTGTAGACATTTTCTTGAACTATTTTCAAGACAAACACCTAGAGTTGGTCCCTGCCATGTTTCAATCTTTATTGGGTGAACATATGTGGAGAGGTGCCTGTATAACTTATTGCTTGTCAATATTGTGTTTATGTTATTTACTGAAGAACAAACACAAATTTTAAAATTTTGATTTTATCTTTTTCATACAATAAAAATAAAACAAAATACTGCATATTTTGCTTTTTGTCTTTCTTATGAAATAAAAACAACAGTGACATTATTTCTCAGGCATGGATGTAAATCCTAATCTTCAACACTCAGTTTTTTTGTTTAATTCTGAGTATTAGAGATCTCAAAACTGACAGATTTTCTTCCCCTGTGGAAGAGGGGGTACTCAGAGGCAACAGCAAGAGGACATGCAGACAAAACCATACCATACTGAACCAGGCTATGCCATGAAGATATCATTGTTTTAGGTCAATTCTGTTCTGAAGTCATTACTTAGTGCCTTAACTTACTCACAAAATACTCATGTAGCCTGTGTACAGACGCCCCCTCCCCTCAGTGAAAAAAATGGAAAAGGGGAGGGGGTGTCTGTACACACTAATCATAATGATTTTTGGAGTGATTTTTGCAGGCATGTCAAAACATGAAAAAGTTGGCCCAACTTCTTCAAGCTTTAATCCATGTCAATCTTTGCCATCTGTCGCAACATACAACAGGAAACCATTTCAATGCATAAATATAGTCTTAAACTATAAAAATGGACCACTATTTTTTGAATTCAACAGATGAGAAAATAGTTTTAGTTTTATTGGAAAGATAGCATGGCATAGTACCTTTAAATGCTGGTTCTTATAAAAATACCTAAGGGTCAAAACATTTTTCAAAGCAATGTTGGTTTTCCCATCTACTGCTAACAAAGGAGAAGAAAAGAGATAAATAAAGGAATTTAGTTTATCCCCTCAGCTCTGAGAAAATATTATTCCCTAAATGCATCATTGCAGCATTGCAAAGAAAAATTGCAGATAGAGTCACTAATTCCACACCCACCTTAACTTATAAAGTTTATCTGCATTCTAGTGGTCTACTCAACATTTTGACCCTTTAAGTCCCAAATTATATCCACAAACAAATTCTCCAAACTGGTCTCCATACATTTCGTTAAAGAATGAGTTGAGAGAATTTGTTCAAAGATCAAGGCATTTTCTCTTTGGTAATCATTTTGTGAATTCTCATAACCATATCTCTTGACAATGTACGGATATTGTCGGGAGAAAATTGATGTTAGTCACTATTGGGACTTAAAGGGTTAAATGAGGAGGCTCTGCCCTTAGGTCCAACTGCATACCCTTTTATACACCATTCTTGACAGACAAGGTACCTCTTTTTATACCTTCTTACAAAAAAGGCAATGTCCCCTTCTCAAACTATGGAGTTATTGATCCTCCTGAGTTTTTACCTTCATCAAGTATAAGAGCAGCTAAAAACTAATATTTTATTTGTAAAATTCTCACTTTGAAAGGGTTCTTCCTTTTTTATATCTATTAGAAGGTTTTAATTCTTATTTTTGATGGCATGACAGTGAAAACTAGCAATAACTACTGACAGTAAGTGTTCTTGTCATTTTTGTTGCATTTAATAAATATTACATTGGATGCAGCCATAAGGTGCATCACTTTGAACTATTTTAGTTTAAGGCCCTTTGTTTAGGTATTTAAAATACCTAAATGACAAATTCCCCTACCCTTGTCATAGAGTGTATCCTCCAGGGATCTTCTTGCATAAGCACAGCTTATGTCACTAATAAACAAGATAAATAAGATCATTTGTGTTACCGTGTTGTGTCCATGTTGTGAATAAGGAGCATGAGCAACAATGGAGGCAATGCCTGTGAAAATGTCACTTAAAATTCAGCTGTTTCAAACTTCAATTCGTCAAATGTGGGCAAATTTTTTGGGAGTTGAAATCTACAGGACTGTATCTCAGTTCAGAAAAAGAAAGAGGAAGTCATTGTCTGGCATTCATGTCCTCCACAAGACGTGGCGTTAAGCAATTTCATGTTGTGGTCATGCAACAGTGGTAAAGAAATGTAAAAAAAGCATGGTGCACGTGCAATGTTGTTGTTGTTTTGCTGATCTAAACCTATTGCTATTGTCGCATTCTTGATGCTGTCTCCGTCGTCTTTGGAGTTGAAAATAAAACATGAAATAAGTTAAGACTCTATTTGGATCTTCTTTAAGTCGTGATTAGGCAGTTCTAGAGCTGACACCTGGAGTGGCCACATTCCCCCAATAATGCCTGCCTGTATAGCGACTCCTGTTGCCACTGCAAGCTCAGGGTCTATAGATACATTTGGAGCCTTTCCATTGAAATATTCCTTAATGAGTTGCCGCACTCTAGGAACCCTTGTGGACCCACCAACTAATACCACTTCATCAACATAATCCTTCCGAAGTTCAACTTCGCTCAATACTCTTTCAATGGGTTGTAGAACTTTTTGAAACAAATCTTCATTTAACTTTTCAAAAGTTAATCTTGAAACCTTCTCCTCGAATATCGCAAGTTTCTTCCCTTGATTCAGGGAAGGTAGGGGTAATCGGACTATGACCCAGTCCTGTGATGTCAAGTTGACTTTAGTTGATTCAACTTCTTGCCTCAGACGCTGGATGTCTTCAGCATTTGTCAGGTCTTGTCCAAATCTCTCTTTTATCACTGCCATTAAATAAGACATAAGTCTGACATTGAAATCTTGCCCTCCCAGTCTATTATTACCAGCCATAGCCATGGTAACAAACATTCCACCTTGGATATTCAGTAGGGAAACATCTAATGTACCACCGCCTAGATCCACTACCATAACATTGGCGACTCCTGCCTTCTTATGAAGGCCATAAGCCATGGCTGCCGCTGTTGGTTCGTTTATAACACGGACAACGTTGATCCCAGCGAGAGAAGCAGCCTTAACAGTGGCATTTCTCTGGGCCATGTTGAATTCAGCAGGAACCGACATAACCGCTTGGTTAACAGATCTACTGATATTTTTCTCAACTGTCCTTTTCAATTCCCTTAATATAGCAGCTCCGATCTCTTCAGGTGATACTAAAGTCTGGTTTCCATGGCTTTCGATCACGAACTTAGGATCGTCTTTTTCATCAGAAGTGATCTTGAACTGGTACAGTGAAGACAGTTTTCGTAAATCATCTTTCGAGAACTTCTTCCCAATGAAACGTTTTGCGTCATAAATAGTTGATCTAGGATTCAATTCAGCTTGAGCCAAGGCTCTGCTACCAACTAACACTCCATTATCGGTAAAGGCTACAACGCTGGGAATAACTTTGCTGCCGTTCTTGTTGGCCAGGATGTCAACATGGCCGGTTACAGCTTGATAAACACCAACACAGGAAAACGTCGTCCCTAGGTCTATTCCCATAATTTTTGGTTTTGGCGGAGGAAGACGACTTTGAGCTATATATCCGGCAACAACAAGAGCAAAAATCCCACCGAGAACGACACCCAAAGAAGAACTCATCTTTGATCTTCCAGTCAAATTTTTGTAGCGAGACTCACCGGAAGAGAAAACTCTTGTGACACGTACATGCGTACTGTGGGCTGCGCAGACTAAAACAACACACGTTTCCTATTAAAGGGACAAGTGGGTAGATTCACTTCCACTTCCTCAGAAACAAAAATAACAGGGCCTTAAACGCCTAACTCCTGACTACAGCTAACCCTTTAAAACCTCTAATTGCATCCCAGCTACAGAAAATAATAATAGAAGAAATAAATAAATAAACAGAAGCAAAAAAGTGGCTTGACATGAAAAATCGGAATCTGGGATGGGGGTGACATGCCCCGGGAAAAAGCGGGTGGCGGGATGCGGGATTGCGAAACCCTTTTAAGGTGATTCCCTATTAAAAGAACCTAACATAGATTGTAGATGAAACTTGGTACACTGATGTAACAAGTCAAGAAGATGATAAAAAGGTAATAAAAAGTGGGGGTCACCGTGCTCGTTTTGACGTCACAATGTCGACAAATACGGCTATTTTGGACCCTTTGACAAAAACCGCGCGCAGCCCAAAACTAGACAAAAAGGAAAGATTTTTTCAATGATGCATATGGTATCGCACAGAATTTGACTTTAATGTATTGTTTATCCACTAGACTACGAGTAGTCCCTCATTTTTCCTCAAGGATAGCAGAGCGAGCGAAACGCGAGCGCGCGTGAAAATCACCCCACGCGAGAAAAGGCGACACGCGGCGGGGAGAGAGAAACATGAGGGACCCTCATTTTTCTCTCTCCCCGCCGCGTGTAGCCTTTTCTCGCGTGGGGTGATTTTCACGCGCGCTCGCGTTTCGCTCCCTCTACTATCCCTGAGGAAAAATGGGGGACTACTCGTACTCTATTTATCCACTTACGTACTAGAAAAATGCCTTTTAATACCCTTGTTTTTACTTTACGCTCCAAAGTAGAATTAAATTGGACACGCGCTATTCGACACGTGATAGCTCAATCCGTACAATTTAGTAAACTAGCCAAAAAACTGAACATAGATTTGTGCCAATTTTTTTCTCACCGAAAGGAAGCACTGTCCTTATTAAAATCATGAAATAAAAAATGGGGGTCACCGTACTCGTTTTTGCGGTAGAGCTGCAGAAAGTGCGTACCAAATGTATTTTCCTTGATTTTTGAGAGAGGACTGGGGCGAGTTTCAAAAATAGAATGTATGCGAAAGGGGGAAGAAAGTATTAAAAAATCCGTTTTTACAGAATTTACATCGCGATATCACATTTAGGACACAAAGTGATAAAGAAAGCGTTTAAATGAAAATCAATGTGAATAAGCACAAATTAAACATCCACTATCGAGGTTCTCCGTGAGGAAGTCGAACTCAGCATCACGCGTACTGCTTACGTTATGCACATTCCCACCACATTGAGTCTCACCTAGGCAAGAAACAACCGCAAGCAAAAATTGCAATAGCGTTTCTCTTCGGTCAGCTTCATTTTAGTAATGTTACTTCACATGCTCTTTTTTACGGAGGCCATCTTGTTATGCGCAGTAAGAGATGCGCAGTGCAAAACCAGGGAATCACCTTAAGTCTCTTTAACCTGTAGAAAACACTATTAGTTATAAAGAGTTTTTCTCAATCTTCCTGCTTCCTACAACAAGTGATGAAAATATTTAGGCCTAGCCTGAATTTTTAGACATTCCTTAATCGGTTAATAGAGTCGCATGCTCCTCTCAGCTAATTATGCGACTCGAATGGATATCTGAATTTAGGCTAATTTAGGCCGTCAAATAAATGTAACAATTCAGTCAGTAGCATATATGCTTCTGGATTAATCAATAGGTGCGTTCACACTGGACGTCTTCCTCAAGGCTCTCCATGGGGAAATAGCTTGGGTTAACTTGGGTTTGGTTTGCCCTGGGTTTTGATCACTTTCATGTTTGCGGTCACACAGCAATAAATTGCCCGACGGGAAGAAAAAACTTGAACCCGATTTCGCGGTAAATATCAAATCGTTGTAATCATTGGTAGCTGAACCTAAATCGTGAACGGTTTCGACCATTTTTACCATTTTAATAAAATATCAACATCAACTTAGCCTGGCAAGAGCGATACATCTCTTAATTCAAGTAGAGCCAAATCGAAGACGTCGACTTCATTCATTTATAAGAAAGGCAAGACTTGATTTTTCACCTTGGGGAAATCGGTCGCACACAAATAGTTGCTTTCCCATGGGCAACAGCCATTTGCCAACGGGTAAAATCACCAGTGTGACCGCACCTAATGACAATGATTATTGAACCAGAAGGCGAAGGGATTTTCCTGACGCAGTGGAAGATGTTCGAAAAACAATTCAGTTTTGTTTTACACGTACTTATTTATATATACCTCGACTAAATCGGCTTGTATTGACACGACCGGTAACCCGAGAAAACAGCTCAGCCTGTAATCCCCTTCTTCCCTTTTTCTTTAAGACTAGAGACAAGCTTTTTCCCCCTTTGCTCATCCACCGACTTTCCTTTTCAGCAAAAAAAAAAAAGAAAGAAAAACCGCCTGATTGCAGGTTAAAGTTTCGGGACCCATTTGACTGGCCCTAACGCATGCTCCAAGTGTAAACTTGTTGACTGTAAACTTATTGTACTTACTGTACAATACAATAACTTTTTTTAAGAGGGAAACGTAATAATCTTTTACCGTTTTCCAACTTATGGCCTTAAATGCCGGAACTTGCTTCAATTATTAGTCAGTTAAAGTATGTTACGTTTTAGTTTGTTAAATGGATGACATCTGCTCAGGTTCACGAACGAAACGCTTTAACGCTACGATCAAGGGTAGAAAAATAAACTGGTTTGAAAGTTATTATTAATGACAGTTGGCAAATGGCAAAAATTCGAAAAACGGAAATGAAAACCAGTACGTGATGTGAAAAGTTCAAAAATTAAATCAAAGAAAAAAAGAGACTGAGAAATGACGATCAGATTGCAAGGGTATCACTTAAGGTAGTCTTGCCTTCCTCGATAAGACCGGACACCAAAGATGCTAAAAATTTCTGGGGCGTACATCGCCTCATTCATTTTTTTTGCATGAGTATAGGAAGTTATACGAGAAAGTTATTATAAATCAGTCGTTTATTTACCCACGTAGCGTCTAGTGGGCTAATTTTCTTTTAATCTCCCGAACGCGCTAGCCTGCGAGCAAGAGCAGGGGCACAGTAGAGGAGAGCGGTATTAAGGGTGAGGTAGGGGGACGGGGGTGGGGGGGGTCCGTTGAGTTTCCTTCGGAAAAAAAAAATTGGATTTAATTCTTCCGAAATGGCTAAAAAATGTGTCTATCAGTCATAAAGTAGAACGAAGTTTTATCTATTTTGTACACTACAGTTTGTGAAAATCATACAGTTATCGACCTTGTACGTTCTCAGAATCTGATTGTCTTTTGCCACTTTGAAAAAATTTATATATGGATATCGTTGCTCTTCGCTTCGATCACTTCATGACATCATTATCAATGGTGAAGGTTTTTTCGCCAAGTTTTGTTTCCTTGTTTGTCTTCTTTTTCCTTGCCTATACTGACCTTTTTTTTTTAAGTACGTACTTGCGTACGTACGTAAAGCAGGTCCGCCACTGGATTCTTGTCTACTAAACACGTTTTAAAATCCCTCGATTAAAAAGCCAATTCGTCGTGATGTGAATAAATCAAAGAAAAAAGGAAAAAAAATTGTGGTAATAACTCTTATTGTTTTCGATTCCAAGTGTTCTAATGAAGGCTTCTTTTGATCTTTCAATCGATAAACGACCAGGCCCTAAATTGTCCAAAGGTGGATATAACGTTTGAAGTTACTCCTTTCAGTGGATAACACAAATAGTTTCACGCCTTAATACTTCTCCGCTGCCGATTGAATAGTGATTTATTCGGTGGATATCATTATCTAATGTTTGAACAACCGGAGGCATAACTGCTAGTTTTATATCGAATGATCTCCTTAATTTAAGGGAAACGTCCAAGTCCAGTGAATATCAAATATAAACACTTTAAAATTACGAACCCCTTGTCAAATCACTGTCAAAAAAGAACATTAGAACTCAGCTTTCAATCCAATATTTTGACTGTCTCTCAAAAAACTCCGGTCGTTTTTAAAACAAAATGAACTGAGAACTACCAAAGAAATAAATATTTTTCTACAGATTCAAGTTAGAAATACGTGGCCATTTAAATTGATCGTTGGGGCGAAATTAAACAGTAACGAAATTAGTTTTGTGTCACAGGCATATCTCCTTATGACTGTTGTAAAGCTTGCTCTGAATTTCATCTCCTGTGCTGCAGTCACGCTTTCAACTGATATAGGACAAAGACTTTAAAATTATGGCACGAATTACACTCCTAGCGGTGATTTGGTTAGCAGCATGAGCAAACTTTAAAATATTGTAAGCTGCACCCTCAGACGACACAAGTGCCCTCAGAAATACGATACATATCTGGCGCTATTTATAGACATTGGCACCAACTTTCTCAGCTGTCTTCGCCCCATCAATGCCGTTCATTTCCTTCCGTGCCTATGTTGTATTTAAAAGGAAACTAACCTTTAATAGCAAAATGACAACTTACGTTTGTTTGCTTTTCTTTTAAAATTTCAAACATACGATGAGAGTTTTATTAGGTAAAAGCAAACGATGCTTTCAACATATTCGTGGAGATGGTCAATAATAACAGTTAAAGGCTAAACTAATGTCTAAAACCTTTTACTTCAAGTTACCAAACCGGGAACACCGCGTCGCATTGCTCGTGAAAGTGCACTAATGAAGTATAATAGCTATAGCTTTAAACGCCGACCATGTTTTCTACATTAATCCATTGGTTTGTTTTCTTCAAAACATTGTCCAACGTTTTACACTCAACTTTCACCACAGGTAAGTTCTACAATTCCTCGCCAGTAAAGGCAGGCTTATGACTTATCTGATATGTGTTTCACAGTCATTTTTGCAGAGGTGCAGTTTAATGATCAATGGAAAAACATGGATTGGCATGAAGCAGTCCCATTTATGACATGATTGTGTTTTTGTGGTTTTAATTGTACAAATCTCTCTTGAGCTAAATGTAATGGTAACCAGTTTGCAAGTCTGGCATTGGCTATTCATTTAAGGCTTTCTTGTTTTTTCTTTTTCATAGAGTTAAACTCTGAATTTCGCCAAGATATTTTCTCACAAGACGATTATCATTATTTGAATGTTCCTGTGGTTGGATCATTCACAGTGGACAACACCTTTGAATGTACGTTAAAGTGTCTCAGAAATCCTTGTTGCTTTTCTGTTAACCTGGCCGCCTACAGAGGAGCTAATGGAAAGATATGGTGCGAGTTATTGTCCTCTGAAAAGCACAGCAACCCCGAGAAGTATAAAAGAAACCAAACCTCGCATCACTTAAGTACCATCCTAGAGGTATAGAATTATCATTATCAATATTATTATTATTCATTGTCATTGTCATGATCATTATCATCGTCATCGTCATCAGCATCATCATTATCGTTATCGCTATCGCAGGAGCCCATAACCCGGAGTGAGCAACTCCCATACTAGGCCTATGTCACGGCGTTTTTACGGACCAGTTTATTATTAGACACGTTTTAGGGCACTTTTTCCCTGTGAAAACAGAATCTCCACCATGTCTATGAGCGCATTCGAAGTATAAGGTATCAAAAAGTAAAACTAAATGTCATTAAAAGGCAAAAAATATCCTTTTAGGTCTGCAGGTTTTGCTGACTGGTTTGTGGAATTTAAGAGATATTCAAAATTGGTTGTTGTAGTAGTAATCAAAGCGGAGCTCCATGAGTAAGAAAATTTGCTTAGCTATGCATTCAAGAAATTTTGGTTCTGACAAAATCGTCCGTACGATGCGTACGTACGTCCACCCGTTCATGTAAGCAGGGGTGAAATTTTGCATTTCAAGCACCCGGGCGTTTCTATAAAATGTGTAACTAGGAAGTGTCTGGACGTTTCACGTTGTAGTCGTGCAAAACAAAGGCAAAGATATGTACCAAAAACGTCTGCTACACATTACATTTTCGTTGCCGTCGCCGCTCAGCATTACACGATTTTATGTCTTGTTTGAGTAAACTATAAATATTAACGACAGCTTCGCTTTTAGCCCTGGCTAAATCTCATAGGCGTACGGGCAATTTTCGGCCAGGGGAGGGGGGGGGGGAGGTGCAGTAGACCATTTGCCCAAAAAATTCTTGCAAATTGCCCAAATTTTTACAAAACAGTCGAAAAGAAACAAGGGCCATACGATGCAACAACATAGGCCCGCGTACTATAATACGAAAGTGCCTCAATACTGGTTTTCAGGGTCAATATATACCTGCCAAGTTTGAGCACAAACTATACGTTGCCATAAACAAACATTTGGAAAAATTGCCACCACAGTTGTATTAGACAAAGATGAAAATTTGTCATGATCAGGGTTCCAATGACACCGGAGTTGTCATAGCAACAAAATGACGCCATTACCAATTATACTCGCAGCATTATTTCTCATTATGAAGGTCTATGAAATCGTTCTCGGGAGCTTCCTCCAATAGTCGCCTCCATGTTTGTGAAGTTAAAACGGAATCTGTAAGAGCGTTATCGGGATATTTTGGGATAAAGTTTTTATCGTTAGAAAATACAGTAAAACAAGGAAAATCTTGATGTTTAGCCGTTATCTGTAGAAAACGAAGCGCTTTTGACATGCCATTTCACCTCATAGTAGCTTCAATCTTTTTAAAAATGTGTGTGTTATTTCTATAGGTAATACCATGATTTGATTAGTATGTATCATGGCGCGCTTGTTAGCGGTCTACTTTAACAAATTAGTGAATAATTTGAACCACTTGATAGATTTTTTTTTAAAATTAAGATTCTTCTCGTAATTCAAAGTGAGAATTAGTCAACCACTTCTTCACTTTCAGATCAATCGCTGATGCTATCTGCCATACACTGTTCTACGAGCGGAGATGATATTAAAAAGTTAGGCGGAAGTTTATTCTAATCAATTCACGATTGGTAATAGCGCATGGCAGTACAGTGCCCAACGATAAAAAAAACCTTCCCTTATAAACAGAAACTCATCACGTGCTTGGCAACCACTGTCTCGTGTGAATGTAACTTGATTATTACGCCGACTTCAGGTTAAAATAGAAAATATTTATCTCTTCAAAATGCTAATAAGGGACCGGTCATTATTTATCGCCTGGGGGGGGTCGGAGTATTTTTGTTGTCACATCGGAGCATTTACCTGATCCCCCCGTAGAGTATCTAGTTTTTTAAAGATCCCCCCTTATTGGTAGTGGAAAGTTTCATGATCCCCCCCCCTTTCTCCCAGCCACCGCCAAATAACTTTTTGAATATGCAAGTGATATCTTTAATAGTGGTACTTACGTCTCATGGACCTTGAACAACAACGGTAGATATTTGCTCGTCAGATACGAACTGAATTGTCGCGGAAGTGCCAATCTCAGGCTGTTCATCCAAATCCACGAAAACATAGTCATCGTCGCTCTCTGCCTCTTCGCTTTCGGATTCTTCATCCTCGGATTCCACGTCATCTTCATCACTCGACAGTTCTTCTGTTATCACAGTCTCTTTATTCTGTCGGTAATAGTGACATCGAATGGCCTTAACTTTGTCAAGTTTCCGACCCACAGTCGTCAAACCATGCTTGTTGAGATACAGGTCTAGTTCTCTTACCCGCAACTTTTCAACTTTGCCACCCTCGATGAGGTTATCCCATTGAAAGTCCTTGTACGTTCGTTCGGCCTCTTGCCTTCTTCGCTCCTCAGCTGCTCTTGTTCTCATGTCCTTTCGGATCTCAATATCCTTCAAATGATTAACATATGCAATGACGTGCTTCTCTTCCACATTATATTTTGAGCAGGAGCTCTTCATGGTATCCTGATCGTTTCTGATACTGTCAGAATGTTCTTCGTACAGATATTTAATACATTTTCTTGGAAGGTAATCATCTGGTGTCCTGCCCGTCGATTCCGTCTGATAGATATCCATGAAATGTCCAGGATTGTTTGAGTCTGGTACAGGTTGCGGAATTCTTTCCGTTTCTGGACCGACCCATCTATTGTTAGAACACCAAGAACAGAGATTGGAACTTTCTTCTCTTGACTCTTTACAGGCATCACGACAGAATTCCATAAAAAGTTCTCCACGAATATAGTGGTCTTCCATAAACGATTCGATCTTTCGGAAGTATGCTGCACCGGGCGCTTGCTCTTTGTTTCGTTCTGATGCACCCCGATAGTTGTCGAGGTAAACAGAATTGAAAAAGAATAATTCATCAGGGGACTCGCTTACGTCAGCGAGCAGCAATTCTCCTAGAAAAACTTACCTCAGAAGAGGTAGCTAAAGAGGTTTTCGATTCACTCGAAAAGAATACTTACAAATGTGTCTCAAGTATTAATGGAGGATTCACTGCGAGATTTATCAAGCGTCTCCACCTGGATCCTCTGCTATGGCTTTTGGAAAGAGGCGTGTTTGAAACAGAGCTGGCACGCAATTTGAAAGTGGTAGTGGCCAGAATGAACGAAGAGAATAGCAGTAATGGTGCTGAAAGAGGGTCAAGTTCGGGCGAGGATTCCGATGAATCTGACGTGGAGACTGTGCAAGAGCCAGAGGAGAGGGCTGCCGAAGATTCTGACACGGAAGCGGAACAAGATACAGCCTCACCAAAATAAACACTTTTTTATTTGTTGTTTTCATTCGGCCGCGTATTAAAATAATGAACGTTTATGATTTTAGATTACGATTCTCTATAAAACAAACTGAAACGTCATGAAACAATTTTGAGCAATTGTAAGTATTCCATTCTCAAAATCTTGATTACCTTTCTTATTTCAATAGATCGTGCCTGATTAACAACGTGTATGTTAGACTACGATAGTGATACTTTTTTTACAAAATGGAGGGTCTGTAAAAGGGTTTGGGTTTTGTGTCTGGGCTAGAATAAAGTTTATATAATACAAAATACAACTGAACGTGGTCTTGAATATATGGTTGGGGGTTTAGAGTCCTAGCGGCAAATCCTACCAAAGTATTTACAAATGCACTCACCCGGGGTCCCGGCGCGACCTAAAATTCCTTTTTTTTTTCGTCTGATCCCCCCCAGCCCCCCTCACCCCCCCGGCCCGTACGGCTATGTAATTATAATTTAAAATACTAATGGTGATGTTGCTACTTTCAGACCTCAGGTACTCACTCGACATGTTGCAACGGACATACTTGTGCGCACAATTCCAGACATCTCAACTGCCCTTGTAATGAGGAAATTATTGGAGCATCTTTCCAAACTAGAGGTAACCAAACAGGGGTTGACTGAAACTAAAAAAGTGCCCTTGTCTTAGTATGAATATAGGACAATAACACTAGCAGGACTATTAGTGAATTTGATCATTTTTTTCAGCGATCAAGTCATGTCAAGATTGGTATCTCTATAACTCAGACGAGTAGGTAACTTCTGTTTTTCCAAAAAAGTCTTTTTTTATTCGAGTTGGTTTTAAACGACATCAACCCTTTAGTACTAGACAAGGTTGTGAAACTGTTTTTTATGTAAATAGCGAAAACCTGCATGCTTTGACACCCTTAGGGTATGCTCTAGTGTCCGCCTTATACAGGTTTCACTGCAGTTATTAACCAAAAAGTGTCTTCTTCGACTAGGACAAGCAAAACACAGATGATTACAATTACCTTTGACTCAAAGCCAACATCCGTGTTCTGTCACATGGGAGATTTTGGATGTGGGGATGGAGGATGGACACCGGTCATGAAGATGGACGGCAACAAGGTAAGGAGTAGCCTGTGTAAGGCTCTGAGGTAGTAGGGACATCAGAGCTTGCCTCTGTATGGGTGTTTCTGACGAAATCGAACGCGAAGATCGCCATTGGTTGCGCTGAGCTTACTAGTAGCGTTACCACACAAAAAAATGCTTAATATGCGACGATTTCGTGCTTGCCTGAAGAAACGACGATTTGATGGAAATTGCGCGACAAAATCGACTTCTGCAGGTATCCATGCAGAGACTCACATCACCGAAGTAAAACAGGCAAAGCGTTCTTATTCTGCATTCAGTCCAGTTCAGTTCAGTTCATTTTTATTTAGCCAAAATATAATACAATACAGGTATTATACACATAGAAATTGTAAGTTGTCAAGGGAGCCTAGAAGAAATTAAACCAGAAGGCTTATGAAGCCTGGGCTCCCCAGTCACAAAGAAATAAGTATAATGAAATTCGCTGAGTGATACGTTGAAAAAGGAACTAGACAGAGACTGAGTTAAGTTATGAATTCAGTAAAAAAATAAAGAAAAACGTTCTTATTCTGGATAGGTAGGGATATAAGGAGGGGGCATCGCGAGTGTAATGTTGTATACATTAGTAATTTATGGTTCAATTAATTTGACGGCCAAGTACTTGTTTCTCTCACAGCAAACTTTTGAATACAATTCCTCTCTCTGGAGCAACAAAGAAACCTATAACCTTGACGGAGGGAAGACTGGGTTTGACTCACAGGAAACCAAACTTCCCTCCTACTGGAACACATCCTTCTCCAAGATCTGCCTCGGTATGAAGATCGGTCAGCAACCGGTCAAGTTTATTGTCATCAACAAGCAGGCCAACTCCTTGTACTCTCTGATCGCTGATGGGCATTACAACGCCACCTCACTGGGTCGTGACACGTGGAAGTCACTGATGGGCTCTGATGCCTCCTTGCAGGACAAATGTAACAAGGAAGGGTTCAATGCTGCTTGTAGTAAATGGGAAACTTCCAAAGCCAGGATCGGTATCATTAGTAACAACGGAGATAGTTGCGGGTCCTGTAACTCTAGAATTGGGTTTGGTACTGGAGGAGATCCTGATAAAACCAACTCATGTGGAAACGAAGCTGTTGATTCTCCAGACAATGGTGATAAACATATTAAGGCCATGGGATATATTTTGGTGCAGTGAAAGGAAACTGATCTAGGTTAATTTTTTTTTGTGCCAAAGACGCTAAACGAAATCTATCTTAAGGGGCCGGTCGTTTATTACCTGAAGGAGGGAGCAGGGGGGGGGGGTCATTTTCCTGGACGTTCATTTTAAAATACTTGATTTTTAGGGGTTCATTTTCCATTGAGAGAGCTTTTAATATCTGGGGGTCATTTTAATAGATTTCATGAAAGTATTGAAAAGGCATTTAAGAGCGTGAATCATAATTGAATGTATAAGCCGTGAATAGTATAGGCACGCCGATCTCATAAACACGACTGTAGATAAATTATGTGCAGGTGAACGTCATCACGATTTGCAGCCAAAATCAGTGTTTCGTAATTTCCACAGCAATCGGGTGCATCGGGTTAAGGGAGGGAGGATCACTTTCACGATATGTAAAATTCACGAGGGGTCATTTTTAAAAAGCTGTGATGCATAAAGGATTCGGTTTGAAAATCTTCTAAGCCTTTTTCTACTTCTCAAAATGGCGGCTCCCCACACCTTACAAGTAATAAACGACCAGCCCTTAAATTAACTCTAGATCCTGTTAATTTTTTTTGTAGATGAACAGCAAGTTATTTCTAGATGGAATTAATGTAAACCATTATGCATAAGAAATAAAAGGTACACTAGAAAACCACGATAAAAATCATTAACTAAGTTTCTCCATTGCTCCTCATAGTCTATAGGCACAACATTTCATTTTGAGATTGTATGTCACCAAGTGGGCTGGAAAAGTTTTCAAACAGGGATAGTCTGGTTCCAGAGGAGGCTGAATCGGGCTTGCACCACGCAGTGAGGTAAAAATTAGACAGGTAACTTTAAGGCTGATACGGTTGCTGCACGGATGCGTAGACAATGTGCGAAGAACACGTTTGATGTGTGAGGTGATAAGCTGTGATAAGAGAGCAAAGGCAGACCTCGCATCAGTGAAACATTTCCGACATTTTTTTTTGAACAGGAATATGGGTTGTTATTGTTGTTGTTTTTTTTTTGGAGAGAGAAGGATGAATGACGTCAGCTCACGGACACCTCCGAGAAAAGGGCGATTAATTGAACTGAGACAAGATCATCATTATCCAGCCATCATTATCTTACCAGTTTTTTTTTTAAGAGCCTGGGTTAGTGTCAGCCTAGTCCTGAGGCGTTCTCTTTTGATCCGTTCTCCGTGCGAAGTCTCGGTGACATCACAGCTTAAGGTAGAGTCCAGGAATGACCGAGCGGAAAACGCCTGGGGACTAGGCTGGGTTAGAGTTTTGTCCTGGATTTAAACTGGGCCTCCTTGTGAGTAAGTCTGAGCCTGTGAACTGGCCGAGCAGTGGTTGCAGGCATGCATATCAATGAGATGACTTTTTTGGTTCAAAACAAACGGTGAGGACAAGGACATGCGTGCAGACATACAGACACGGGCAACGTTGTTCCCAGCGAGAGAAGCAGCCCTAACAGTGGCATTTCTCTGGGCCATGTTGACTTCAGCAGGAACCGACATAAACGCTTGGTTAACAGATCTACTGATATTTTTCTCAACTGTCCTTTTCAATTCCCTTATTATAGTAGCACCAAGAGAGGATAAAGGGGACAGAGAAGGCATCCCCCATACACACCCTATTGCATAGGTAATTCGTCTCGAGTTATTTTTAGAATCGGGATAAAGTTGCCTCGCACGCTGCGTGGATGTTTCTTGGAGGTTTCGCGTGACTAAACGCCGTGCAAAACATGTCGGGCGAAAGGCAATGAAAGCGTAAAGAGATCGAGAGCATTCCTGAATATTGAAGCGAAATGAGTCGGCGCTCACCTGGGAAAAGGGAATCGCTGGACTCTTTGACAACCTGTGAAATCAGTTTAACTCGAAGTTGTCGTAGCCTCAGTTCTTTAATAAAATGAGGAATTTCGCCAGTCTATTGAAACCTGTCGTTTGTACAATAAAGCAAGTAGGACGCCAAATGTTTTATTTGTTAAATAATAAAAGACTAATAAAAGAATAAATATCAAACCAGAAATTGCTTTCTTCAAACTGTAAATTATAAAAGATCCTGAGAGAATATTCAGTGTGTTAAGGAACTCCCTGCTGTACTGTTAGCTCTATACAAGAGAGGAAAGGCGATTCCCATTTAATTTCCGTTTCGCTGACACAGCTTTAGCAGAAATCTCTCTGTAGTCGTTTTCGTCGACAAAACGAATAGCAATATCGCTCTCCGCGTTTTCCGTCATTTTGTTCTGCGTCAATTCGTGACGGACGCGTGGCTCTGAGCGTGGGTCACCCACGCGGAACACATTCGCGCTATGTGATTGGCTGTTGTCTAATCCCCCTTGAGATCTGTGGTGTTAAAAATAACTCGAGACGAATTACCTATGGAATAGGGTGTGTATGGGGGATGCCTTCTCTGTCCCCTTTATCCTCTCTTGGTAGCACCGATCTCTTCAGGTGATACTAAAGTCTGGTTTCCATGGCTTTCGATCACGAACTTAGAATTGTCCTTTTCATCAAAGTGACCCTGAACTGGTAGAGTGTAGACAGTTTTCGTAAATCATCTTTCGAGAACTTCTTCCCAGTAAAACGTTTTGCGTCATAAATAGTTGATCTAGGTTTCAATTCAGCTTGAGCCAAGGCTCTGTTACCAACTAATACTCCATTATCGGTAAAGGCTACAACGCTGGGAATAACTTTGCTGCCGTTCTTGTTGGCCAGGATGTCAACATGGCCTGTTACAGCTTGATAAACAGCAACACAGGA